GATTTTAGCAAATCAGAATCAGTTTAGATTGTGAGTTCCAGCTCCAGGACACAGCAGTAGGGTCTTGATGCATCAGGGATAAAAACTCCTGCTTTCCTTTGTTTGGTGTGCTCTCATGGCAGTCTGGCTTGCAAACAGGATCCTTCTGCAGAAGTAAAATTGCCTTGCTGAGAAATCTTTTGTTTGTGTGTTCATGTTCCTTGCGACTCCGAATTTTCATTTCTAACAATGTGCTATCCTGAAGAATCTGGAGGTAAGAGGGCCTGGGCCAAGGTGCAGTGACCCCCTGGGCCAGCCCTCAAACCTCCTCCCACAGTGGGGGTAGGGTGACCCTCTGCCCGCTGAGACAGCCCAACAGCTCCCACCCCTAATTATTGCCCTCTCTAACTCTCCCCGCAGTCCTCCAGCTCCTCCTCTCTGCATGCGTCTCAGAACCAATACCAAGAGGTAACTGTACCCTGAACTCCAGCTATCTAACAATCAACTCAATAGAATGATTGAGACATTCTTAAGAGTCCAGTAGGGCCCCCTGGTGCCACTCTGCCAATCCTGGGCTCCAATTTTCCCTTGGGGCCTTGAAGAAAGGGGCTAGGGGTGCCTGGTGCCAAGGGTATATGGGGAGCTGGGGGGCCCAGGTCTCAGCTGGAGGGACCCCATGGAGCATGCATCATGGCTCTTCTGTTGCTGCCCTCTTCGCCTACTGTCTCTTTTCCAGACACCCCTGCTCCAGTCCTTGCCACACACGCCTTGGGATTGTTGCCTCTCAGGGAAGTGCTAGTCTGACTGGTTGCCAGGAACTCCATATTTCTGCCCTGACTCAGTCCCTAATTTTCTCTTTGATTCAGGACAAGCCACCTCTCCTCCTTGGGCTTGTGTTTCTTGAGGAGGTAGAGAGTATCAGATGTCTCTGCTAGCTCTGAGAGTCCAAGATTTAAAGGTCCACTAGAATGTAAACCTCAGGGCCAAGGGATCCTGTCTGTCCTTTTTTGTCCTATATCCCTGCTATGAAGAATTGTACCTGGCCCGTGTGTGCTCAGTGTTGAGTGAATGCATTTTCTAAATCACAAACTGGCAGAATGTTGGGCTTTTCTCAGACTCCATCTATACATGTCACTGGTAGAAGGTCGTGACTACAAGTTGTCCAAGATCTTGGAATTTTGAACAAAGAATTGGATAAAATGCCCAGCAAAGCAAAGAAAGAATGAAGCAACAAAAGAACCAAAGCAGGGATTTATTGAAAACACAAGTACACTCCACAGTGTGGGAGTGGGCCTGAGGAGCCTCTCAAGGGCCTGGATACAGAATCTTCCTGGGTCCAAATACCCGCCAGAAGTTTCCCATCGGCCACTTCATGCTCATCTCATGTAACTGAAGTGGTAGCCGCAATCAGTCTGATTGGTTGCAGAAAGCATCCAACCAGAGGCTGAAGTGAGGTTACAAAAGTCACACTCCTGTGCAAACAATCTGATTGGTTGCAAAAAGCAACCAGCAACCAACCAGAGGCTAGGGTGAAGTTACAAAGTTATACTTCTTTGCAAATGAAGACTTGACCAGCAATCAGTTTTAACTTGTTGCAGACAGCCAGTTTCCCATCTGCCTCACAGAAAAGGTGAAAGGTAGTAGCCTCTGGTTCTTTCGTTACTCAGACATGGAAAGCTAGGGTTTTCTTTTCATTTTGGTTCTAGGAAGTCGGCGCGAAACAGTCTTAGGTTTCCTGCCTCCGGACCCTATTTTCCTGCCTCATAGAGATTTATGTTACTGTCGTTTTGGGAGAATCCAGATTCAGACTTTCAGTTCTGTGGCTGTGGGCCAAAACCAACAAAGACCCAAATCCTCTGTCTTTGGGAGCTTGAGGAGAGTTGACCAGTTCATGGTCCCACTGGGTCTGAGAACTTTGCCTTTAAAATCCACTCCTGGCCTCTACCTACCGCTTCATGGCCTGGGGAATAGAGTCGAAGGGGCCACCCTTGGTCCCCTTCCTTTGACCCTCCCCACGAAACAGCACAACCAAGAAATTGTGGATCAACTGGAAGTAGTAACGTGATTTCTTTGCTCACAGCATGACCGCTGGGTTTGGGGAGCACTCAGATGTAGAGGCCCCAGTCTCGTCTTGCCCACTCCCAGCCTGGGGAAGAAGGCTTACCCCCCATATTCCACCTCATCCCCACAGGGTCCCTGATAACCTGGTCCCATGGGTGGGCCTGTCCTGGGGCATTGGCGGCATTCAGGGGGCAAGTCCCTTGCTGGGCCATCTCTGCCTCCCCCTAGTAAGAGCTCTGTCTTCCTTTTCCTACAGGAAAAGCAAGAAAGCCAGCAAAACCAGGGAGCCCTAAAGAGGCAGAGGTGAGTGGAGGGTGTGAAGTTCCCTCCTGTCCTCTGGATAGTGTTGCTTTCCTTTTCTTTTAGCACTTGCTTGGCTTTTCTCCCAAAGGTTCAAATCCAGAGAACCAACATACTGATGTCTGAGAAAGGAAAATTAAATACTGAACTCTATCATATGCAATGTGCTGCCAGGAACTTTGAAGGTGGGAATCTGGGCACCCGGTCATCCTTCAACCTGGCGCTTTGACAGGCCTTTTGGGGGAGTCCTTTGGGCCCCATCTCAACCTCTCTCATTTCAGGAGAGTCCACGGATCTGGCCAGCCGCCTGCAGTATTCCCAGCAGCGTGTGGGAGAGTTGGATTGGACTCTTTGCTGTCTCCACGCAGCAGAAGAACATGGACAGGGTGAATCCTATTGCCTGCCCCATCCCTTGGCAGCCCAGGTTCCCAGATGGAGGAGTGAGGGACCTTTAGGTCCCTTCTGCAGGATGGAGTGTCCTGCCCAGAAAACAGCATGGGCCATTTCTCATTGCTTTTGTATGTCGTTGTTAGAGGCAGCCTAGGGCTGAGTTGGCTGCTGTGGGTGAGTTGGGGAGCGCTGTGGGGAGCAAGCAGAGTTTGGACGTGCAGCACTGGATGCAGAGCTCGGAGACCAAGTGCCTACCGTGCCCTTACCTGGCTGTGGCCTTGGCCAAGTCCTAAGTGGGGGATATGGTACTTACACTGTGAAGGTACAGAAGAATAACTTTAGTATGATACCATTTGTGTAGAGAGAGGGAACGTGTGTGTGTGTGCGCGTGTCTGTGTGTGTAAGTACTATGATAATATACATAAAACATGCTTGAGAGTGGTTTCAGAGCCACTGGCTGCATTTTCTTGAGGCTCAAAAATGAGAAACAAACTAGGAAAGAAGGGAATTTATTGCTGTAACCGGATACAGGGAGAAGGCTGGAGATAATTCCACCAGGCCAACTCGAAGTGTTACAATTTTCTTAGGGCTTATATAGGTTGGGGTTATGTGCCTACGTGCAGCATAGCATTCACCTAAGTCTATTGATAACTAATTTTGTTTCAACTAGAAAGTCAGAGGCAAAAAGTGCTGGCTAAGTCTGATTAAGCTGTGAGGACCCCAGTACCCTCAAGGCCTGTCTACTGTGGTACCAGAGTGATTATTTCTATCTTATCTCCCTCACAGCTTGGTCTGGAGAGCCGCCTTAGACTCTCCAATGAATCTATTCAAAGAGCTGCCTCTGTTACCTTGACTCGTCTCAGATTCCGTCAACCCGAGACTAGGAATATAAGACTGTCTGTATTATTTTGACTTGCTCCAGGTTAGGGAGAAGCCTATGCAAGGGTCCTACTGACCATATGTTTCTTTTCTAGCTTTGATACCTGGGCATGAATTTCTCTAGGTTTAACTATTTGCTCAATGTTAAGGCAGCTCTGTGGAAATTTGTTTGTGTAAACTGGAGTGCTGTGCAGGGCTGTCTGTGTGACTGTCATGAAGGCCTGTCTGTGTGATTGTCAGGGAGAATTGGCCTGCCACAGAACATTGCAGGGCTGTCTGTGTGACTGTCATGAAGGCCTGTCTGTGTGATTGTCAGGGAGAATTGGCCTGCCACAAAAGGATTCATACAAAACTCAGGAGAGAGACACAGGGTGGCTGGGAGATATTTCCCTTCTGTACCTTCTGAGTTTTGTACTATGTGAATTTATCATCCTTTCAAAAGGTGAACAAAAGATTAATTTCCTCCTTCCTTTCTGTGTCCCAACCCCCATTAAAAAAAAGGGCTTAGAGAATCAGATATACCTGGGTGTTCAAATCCCAGCTCTGTCTGAGTGATCTTAGGCAAGCAATTAACCTCTAATACCCCATGTTTTTTACCTGCTCAACAGAGGTAATAGTAGTAACTGTCTCATATGGTGGTTGTGAGAATTAAATGGATTGCTAGCATGGTGCCTGGTGAAGCACTCAAAGGTTCAAATAGTGATAGTAAAAATGGTAATAACAATAGCAATATTCTCTGATCTCTCTGGGCCTCTGGTAACCAGCTATAAATTCGATCTCTTTCCCTGTCCCTTCCACCCTTATTGAGTTCTTTGAGAAACAAATGAGACTATGGGCTTGGAAATGCCTTGAAAATATGTCAGCTGTGATTGAGAGTAAGGAAGTGTTAACTGGGGAATAGTTATTATAGCTATTGTTACTGGTCAGCCAGCTGCTCCTCTGCCTGCTATATCCTGACCTAATCTTTCTGTATTTGCAGTATAACAAGGAGGTAACCAAAGACAGAGATGCCCTCAGGCTGGAGTTATACAAGAACAGGTAGGACGGGGGACGGTGGGATGGGAGGTCTGGGGCCCTTAGAATGGGTGATGTGCTGGGAGGTGGGAGGGGTGCAGGTGAGCTTGGTGAGGTGGTCATACAGGTTTGCATGTGTGCACAGGCTAAGCTCTAGCGCTAGCTGTGCCCCTGACTCACGGTGTGGCCTTGGGGAACTCATGTCTTCTCTCTGGCGTGCCACCTGTGACTTGATTCCTGAAGTCCCTTCCAGTGCCACAGTTCTGTTGTTGTGGGGCGAAGGTAGAGGAGCCATCCTTTCTGCTCTTCATTGTAGTCCTTTCTGTTCTTCGTTCATTCCTTTCTCTCCTGCCTCTGGCCATAGCCAAAAACAATGAGGACCTGAAGCAGAAGAACTCAGAACAAGAAGAGAAGCTTCAAGTCCTAGTGACTGCGAAGTCAGGGATTTAACTCAACTTGAAGGAGCTGCACAGGAAGCTGGAGAGGACTGAGCTCCTGCTTCAGGCAAGAGGCTGCAGCCCCAGGGGTGGTGGGAGCCCCATCCAGCTGAGGACATGGTCTAGGGATCATGCAGGGTATGGGGAGGCTCCAGCCAAGAGCTGAAAAATTTGGGTCCTTGTTCTGGCCCTGCCATAGAATCCTCTAGAGACTGCTAAAAATCTACAAACTGGGGCCCTGCCGTAGACCTGGGGAATCAGAATCTCAGGGTTAGGGCTTACATTTTTTAAAAAATTGCATCATAGATGAAAACCATTATTTTATAGATTACACTTATATGGTTAGCTCATGAGTCTGTTTATTTCCTTCTGAGGTTCAAGCCAACACTTCGACTATTCCACGGTAATAATCGAGAGTAGAGTTTTTGTTTGTTTTTTATTTTGGGACGGGGCCTCCCTGTATCACCGGGGCTGGAGTGCAGTGGCGTGATCTTGGCTCACTGCAACCTCCACCTCCCAGGCTCAAGCGATCCTCCTGCCTCAGCCTCTCAAGTAGCTGGGACTACAGGTGCACACCACCATGCCTGGGTAACTTTTGTATTTGTAGAGACGGGGCTTTGCCATGTTTCCCAGACTGGTCTTGAACTCCTGATCTCAAGCAGTCCACCCACCTCAACCTCCCAAAGTGGTGTTATTACAGGCATGAACCACCATCCTTGGCCTGAAATCTTTAAAAAAATTATTTAATTTTTTATTTCTAAAGCAGAGAAACTCGACAGTAGAGATCTTTATTGACCAAGTTGTACATTAAGCCAGGCTCTAGACCTTTTAAAGGGCACTATGTGGAACAGCCCAGGCTCCCCAGATCTGAATTTCTCACTATTTACTATTTGATTTGATTCTAGGAAGTCGGCACGCAACAGTCTTAGGTTCCCTGCCTCCAGACCCTATTTTCCTGCCTCACAGAGGTTTATGTTACTGTCCTTTCGGGTGAATCCCTTCTCCTTCTGCACTTGCTTGGCTTTTCTCCCAAAGGTTCAAATCAGACAGTTGGAATCTTGATGTTTGAGAAAGCAGAATTGAAGACAGCACTGTATCACACTGAATGTGCTCCCAGGCAGTTTGAAGGTGGGAATCTGGGCACCCATCATCCTTCAACCTGGCGCTTTGACAGGCTTTTAGGGGTAGTCCTTTGGGCCCCATCTCAACTTCTCTCATTTCAGGAGAGTCCACGGATCTGGCCAGCCGCCTGCAGTATTTGCAGCAGTTTACGGGAGAGTTGGAACGAACTCTCTTTGCTGTCTCCACGCAGCAGAAGAACATGGACAGGGTGAGTCGTACAGCCTGCCCCATCCCCTGGCAGCCCAGCTTCCCAGATGGAGGAGTTGAAGCTGGTTATGAAGCTCTTGATGCTAACCAGCAGTTACAGCAGGCCATGGAGGAGCGGGCACAGCTGGAAGCACACCTGGGGCAGGTGAGGCTTTGCGGAGGGAGGGATGTGGAAGGAAGATAACCCCAGGTGGCCAGGAGCAGGTGAGGACCAGTGACAGCCCTTCCTAACTTCTGTGCCCATTCTTGCAGGTGATGGAGTCACTGAAACAACTACAGATGGAGAAAGATCAACACGCTGAGAATCTGAAAGGAGAGAGCACCTTGTGGTGGCAGAGGATGCGGGAGATGTCAGAGGAGGTGAGACCTGACCCTTCAGCCCCAACCACAGATAGGTCACTTGATTGTTCCAGGCATCTGTGAAATGGGAGGAGCACAGCCAGAGGTGGTCATGGGTCTGGGCTTTGTGGAGGTAGGGGCAGACAGGGAGACGGTAGCCTGTCCAGCCACCAGCCCTGCTCTCCAGGGCCCTTTCCCCCTGTGCTTTGGGCAGGTGCACACGTTGAGGGAGGAGAGGGCACATAGCATGAGTCGAGTACAGGAACTGGAGACGAGCTTGGCTGAACTAAGGAACCAGATGGGTGAGCTGGGGCTGGGGTGACCTGGGAGCAGGACTGGCGTCAGAGGGCTGTGGGGATGGCTTAGAATGCCCCAGGGAGGTGGGCGCATGGAAAGGCTTTGAGGCAGAGGGAAAGAGGTCTGTGCCAGGAGATGGCAAGTCTTGTCATCTTCATGAGCCTCAATGTCCCCATCAGCCAAGAGGAAAAAGTTGTCAGCCACCCACAAGTGTCTCTATCTGAAAGTGGCTTGGAAGATTGGCTACCATCAGGGTGTGAGGAATCATTAGCAGGGAGGCCAAGTTTGGGGAGGTTGAGGTGAGGAGTGGATCAAGAGAAGGATTTTTTTTTTTTTTTGAGAATGCAGAGGGTTTTTTTGAGAATCATTAGCAGGGAGGCCAAGTCTGGGGAGCCTGAGAGGAGCTGTGTACCAAGAGGAGGGTTTTTTTGAGAATCTGGAGGCCCTTATTGTCTGCTTCCTTTCTCAGCTGAATCCTCACCCCTGGAGCCCCCAGTAGGGGGCACAGCCGTCATGTGAAGTGGCACTTCTGAAGGGACCTGTGAGCCAGAGCCCTGCTTTGATGGCTGTGGGGGAGAGGGGATCATTTTTCTGATCTGCCTCCATCCTTCCCAGTGCCATGGGAGGCAGATACCAAGTTCTGGGGTCTCCAGCTGCAGCAGCAGCTACAAGCAGAGGCTGAGCACCTGTGGAAGGAGCTGGAGAGTGTGGCAGGACAGCTCCAGTGGGCCCACATGCAAGACAATGAGGGCTTGAAACGCCTGAACTGGGAGCAGGAGGAGAGGCTGCTGGAGCTGAGCTCTGAGGGGAGCAGGCGGAGGTACGCAGGCAAACCCTGGGGACCATGCAGAACGACCTCACCACCATCAGCCCTGCACTCTCCCAGAACCCTGAGCTCAAGGAGCAGCTGCAGAGAACAGCTTTGTAAAACTGGTGCATCCCACCTGGGGAGACTGTCCTCCTCCCTAGCCCTCCAAGACTTTGTTTCCCCACCTGTTAAGTGGGGGCAGTGTAGCCCTTATGTGAAGTGACACTTCCGAAGGGACCTGTGAGCCAGAGCCCTGCTTTGATGGCTGTGGGGGAGAGGGGATCATTTTTCTAAACTGCCTCCATCCTTCCCGGTGCCATGGGAGGCAGACACCAAGTTCTGGGATCTCCAGCTGCAGTGGGAGGCGTGATTGCTTGTCTCTGTCCAGAACAATGAGAACATGGAGATCACCAGTGCACTTTAGTCTGAGCAGCACGTCAAGGAGGAGCTGCCAGAGAAGCTGGGTGAGCTGTAGGAGATGGTAATCCCCGCTGATTATGCCACTGTAAGGGAGAAGGCAAGGGAGAAGAGAGAGGCAGACAGCTACATTGTACATTGCCCAGACTACTACTTCCTCATCACTGTCTTCTGCCCAGGAGGGCCCCAGTTAGGGTCACCTGCGGCACAGACTGGCCTTCTGGAAGAACAGTGCCTTTCTCCTCCCTGACTTTGGTGCACCTTCCTCCAGCCTGCTGTGGCTGCCACAGGTCAGAACCTGCTGCTGTCTTTTGCTGAGCTCCGGGGGGAGTGAGGTCCTCATGTGTTCATGAAAGAGGCTGTGCAGCCCCTGCTTTGAGCTTTGGCCATTCGAAATGCTGCCTAGCAGCCCAAGGCCTGGGCAAACCATATCCACACCCCCAAGTGGCTCCAAGCATGCGTGACTGTCAGTCTGACTGCACCAGCATCTGTCCTACCTGTTCCACACTCTTGTGTCCGTGGCACCGAGGCACCTTCTCTCCCGCATGGCCCCCTAACACCCTGCGCTCTGTTCTGTGACAGACGCCAAAGACCATGCTGCGTCTGTATAGCCACCTGGTGATGACACCGTGTTACCTGGTGGTGTCCCTTGCCCTGGTGCCAGTCTCGCTAGTATAGTGGCACCTCAGGTTCATGCCTCCTCCTCTGCCTACTGCCCTCCTGTACCTACTATGGATTCTCTTCTTTTTTCACAAGTAGTTTGTTCCCTAGGGCGAAGTGCCCTTCCTGGGGACTGGGATGGGGGAAGGCTGAAACTGGGCTTTTCCTTGAGGTTTGGGGACATAGAATATTGTTGGAATGAGCTTGGTAACTTGGCTCACCCTGCCCTCGGTGATTCTTACAGAAATTGAGTGACCATCTCATATGTTTCTTCCCACATAGAATGATGATGCTAGCCCCAATCTCATGGATGAAAGTAAGTGAGTGTCTCCTATCAGGGCAGCAGTCTCTAGGCTGAGGAAGTCAGGGAGACCACTGTCTAAGACCTTCTTTCCCATTGAGCCACCTGCACTCCTGACGTCTGTGTCTCTGCCCTTAGGACCTTCTCATCAACCGAGAGCCTGCAACAACTCTCCCAACAGCTCAATGGCGTTGCTTCTGAGGTACTTCAGAAATTGTGGCCCAGAGGGGAGTGCGGGGAGAAGGAAAGTATGATAGAAAGAAGCTGAGGCAGGGATCACAAGAGAGAAGGAAGATCCTGGGACCAGCCGATTTGCTGGGCAATGTTGAGGAAGTTGCCTCTTCCCTGAGGCTTCTTCCTTGAAGCTGTTCATATGAAGGAGTTGGACCCTGTGGCTGGTTACATCATTTTATGTAACCTGCTGTAGAAACACCGGATGAGAGCTGCTTGGGAGGGAAGGATGGTGGGGAGATAAGAACCATGAAAGAAGTTGGCACAAAGAGGTTACAGGATGAAGGGTCCAAGTTATGCAGAAAAGAAAATGTTGCCAGTTGCTGGGGAAGAAAGGAAGTCAGAGGGCTCAGACACTGCGGGGACTGAAGATCTCCATGCGCACCCTCATCTCTTGTAGTCAGCAACACGTATCTATGCGGAGGGTCCTGCATCATCTGCTACCTTGAAGGATCTGGAGGTAAGAGGCCCTGGGCCATGACCCAATGACGCTGCAGGCCAGCCCTCCAACCTCCTCCCACAGCAGGGGCTGGGTGCCCCTCTGCCAGCTGAGACAGCTCACACACACCCCAACCCTAATGATTGCTCTCTCTACCTCTCCCCTCAATCCTCCTCCAACTCCTCCTCTCTTCATGTGCCTCAGAGCAGATACCAAGAGGTAACAGTCACCCTGGGCTCAAGTTATATAACAATCAGTCAACTGAATAAAACCATCGAGTCATTGGTAAGAGTTCAATGGGGTCCGCTGATTCCACACTGCAAGTCCTGGGCTCCAGTTTCCCCTTGGGGCCCCGAAGAAAGGACTGGGGGTCCCTGATGCCAAGGGCAAATGGGGAGCTGGGGGGCCGTGGCCTCAGCTGGAGGGACCCCAGAGCACAGAGCATGCATCATGGCTCTTCTGTTGCTGCCTTCTTTGCCTACTGTCTCTTCTCCAGACATCCCTGCTCCAGCTCTTGCCACACATGCCCTGGGGTTGTGGCTTCTCAGGGAAGCACTGGCCTGATTGGTTTTCAGGAGCCCTGTATTTCCACCCTGACTCAGGCCCTAATTTGTTCTTTGATTCTGGACAAGCCACCTTTCCTTCTTGGGCTTGTGTTTCCCAAGGAGGTAGAGTTAGAGAGTATCAAAAGTCTCTGCTAGCTCTGAGAGTCCATGATTTAAAGGTCCAGTAGAATGTAAACCTCAGGGCCAAGGGATCCTGTCTGTCCTTTTCTGTCCTATATCTCTGCTGTGAAGAACCATACCTGGCCTGTATGTGCTCAGTCTATGTTTGTTGAGTGAATGCACCTTTCTAAATCATAAGCTGGTAGAAGGGTGAGCTTTTCTCAAACTCCAGCTCTAAAGGTTTATGTTACTGTCCTTTCGGGAGAATCCAGATTCAGACTTTCAGTTCTGTGGCTGTGGGCCAAAACCAACAAAGACCCAAATCCTCTGTCCTTGGGAGCTTGAGGAGAGTTGACCAGTTCATGGTCCCAGTGGGTCTGAGAACTTTGCCTTTAAAATCCACTTCTGGCCTCTGCCTACTGCTTCCTGGCCTGGGGAATAGAGTTGAAGGGGCCACCCTTGGTCACCTTCCTTTGACTCTCCCAAGGAAATAACACATCCAAGAAATTGTGGATCAACTGGAAGTAGTAACGTGATTTCTTTGCTCACAGCATGACTGCTGGGTTTGGGGGGCACTCAGATGTAGAGGCCCCAGTCTCGTCTTGCCCACTCCCAGCCTGGGGAAGGCTTATCCCCCATATTCCACCTCATCCCCACAGGGTCCCTGATAACCTGGTCCCATGGGTGGGCCTGTCCTGGGGCATTGGCAGCATTCAGGGGGCAAGTCCCTTGCTGGGCCATCTCTGCCTCCCCCTAGTAAGAGCTCTGTCTTCCTCTTCCTACAGGAAAAGCAAGAAAGCCAGCAAAACCAGGGAGCCCTAAAGAGGCAATTACAGGTGAGTGGAGGGTGTGAAGTTCCCTCCTGTCCTCTGGAGAATGTTGCTTTCCTTCTCTTTCAGCATTTGCTTGGTTTTTCTCCCAAAGGTTCAATCAGGTAACTGGAATTTTGATGTTTGAGAAAGCAGAATTGAATACAGCACTGTATCACACTGAACATGCTGCCAGGCAGTTTGAAGGTGGGAATCTGGGCACCCATCATCCTTCAACCTGGCGCTTTGACAGGCCTTTAGGCCTTTGGGCCCCATCTCAACCTCTTTCATTCTAGAAGAGGCCGAGGATCTGGCCAGCCATCTGCAGTATTCCTGGAAGCATGTGGGTGAGTTGCAACGGGAGCAGAGGAAGGCAGATAGGGTAAGTCCAACCACCTGCCCCATACCCTGGCAGCCCGGCTTTCCAGATGGAGGAGTGAGGGACCTTTAGGTCCCTTCTGCAGGATGGAGTGTCCTGCCCAGAAAGCAGCATGGGCCATTTCTTGCTGCTTTTGTGTGTGGTTGTTAGAGTCAGCCTGGGGCTGTGTCGGCTGCTGTGGGTGAGTTGGGGGCACTGTTGGGAGCGAGCACTGGATGCAGAGCTCGGAGGCCAAGTGCCTACCCTGCCCTTACCTGGCTGTGGCCTTGGCCAAGTCCCAGGTGGGGGTATGGTACTTGCACTGTGAAGGTACAGAGGAGTATCTTTAGTATGTTACCATTTGTGTAGAGAGAGGGAACGTGTGTGTGTGTGTGTGTGTGTGTGTGTACTATGATAATATACATAAAACATGTCTGCAAGGATTTGTAAAAAACTTAGGAGAGAGGAACGGGGTGGCTGGGAGATATTTCCCTTCTGTATTTTCTGAGTTTTGGACTATGGGAGTGTACCCTTCAAAAACTGAACACCAGATTATACCCCTTTCTTTCTGTGCCCCCACCCCCAGCTGTTAAAAGTGGAGGGTGTCCAGCTTCTTGGCGTCTTGAACAAAGAATTGGACAAAATGCACAAAGTGAGGAAGGAATGGAGGGATTTATTGAAACTGAAAGCACACTCCACAGTGTGGGAGTGCACCTGAGCATAAGGGCTCAAAGGCACCGTTAAAGAATTTTTGGGAGTTTACCCCCTAGAGGATTCCATTGGTTACTTCGGGTATGCCCTATGTAAATGGAGAGGATGAAGTAAAGTTACAAAGTCATTTAGCCATAGGCCCCATAGGGAGGATATTTCCTGTTATAGCTGAAGTGTGAACAGGCCTTATGTTCCCTGCCTCCAGATCCTATTTTCCTGCCTGACAGCGAAAAAATGGGCTTAGAAAATCAGATATACCTGAGTGTTCAAATCCCAACTCTGTCTGATGATCTTAGGCAAGCACTTAACCTCTGACACGCCATGTTTTTCAACTACACAATAGAGGTGATAATGGTAACTGCCTGCTATGGTGGTTGTGAGGATTAAATGGGATTGCTAGCATGGTGCCTGGTGAAGCACTCAGTAAAGGTTCCAACAGTGGCAGTCATAACGGTAATAACAATAGCAATATTCTCTTTTCTCTCTGGGCCTCTGGTAACCAGCTATAAATTTGATCTCCTTCCCTGTGCCTTCCACCTTTACTGAGTTCTTTGAGAAACAAATGAGACTGTGGGCTTGGAAATGCCTTGAAAACATGTCAGGCGTGATTGAGAGTGAGGAAGTGTTACTGTGGAATAGTCACTGTAGCTGTCGTTCCTGGTCTGCCAGCTGCTCCTCTGCCTGCTGTATCCTGACTTCACCTTTCTGTATTTTCAGTACAACAACCAGTTAACCGGAGACAGTGATGCCCTCAGGCTGAAGTTATACAAGAACAGGTAGGACGGGGGACGGTGGGATGGGAGGTCTGGGGCCCTTAGCATGGGTGATGTGCTGGGAGGTGGGAGGGGTGCAGGTGAGCTTGGTGAGGTGGTCATACAGGTTTGCATGTGTGCACAGGCTAAGATCTAGTGCTGGCTGTGCCCCTGACTCATGGTATACTTGGGCAACTCATGTCTTCTCTCTGGTGTGCCACCTGTGACTTTTGATTCCTGAGGTCCCTTCCAGTGCCACGGTTCTGTGGTTGTGGGGTGTGGGTAGAGGGTTGATCAGCAAAGCAGCACTTTCTGTTCTTTGTTCATTCCTTTCTCTACTGCCTCTGGCCATAGCAACAGCAATAAGGAGCTGAAGCAGGAGAACTCAGCTTTGGCAGAGCAGCTTCCAGTTGTACTGACTGAGAAGGCAGGGATGCAGCGTAACTTGGAGGAGCTGAAAAAGAAACTAGAACTCACTGACCTCACGCTTCAACAGGCGAGAGGCTGCAGCCCCGGGGGTGGTAGGAGCCCCATTCAGCTGGGGATATGGTCTAGGGATCATGCAGGGTATAGGGAGGCTCCAGCTAAGAGCTGGAAAATTTGGGTCCTTGTTCTGGTCCTGCCATAGAATCCTCTGGAGACTGCTAAAAATCTACAAACTGGGGCCCTGTCATAGACTTAGGGAATCAGAATCTCAGGGTTAGGGCTTAATTTTTTTTTTTTTTTTTTAATGCATCATAGATGAAAACCATTATTTTATAGATTACACTTATATGGTTAGCTCATGAGTCTGTTTATTTCCTTCTGAGGTTCAAGCCAACACTTCGACTATTCCATGGTAATAATAGAGTAGAGTTCTTGTTTGTTTATCTGTTTGTTTGTTTTGGGATGGGGTCTTGCTCTGTCACCGGGGCTGGAGTGCAGTGGCGTGATCTTGGCTCATTGCAACCTTTACCTTCCAGGCGCAAGCGATCCTCCTGCCTCAGCCCCTCAAGTAGCTGGGACTATAGGCACACACCACCACGCCTGGGTAATTTTTGTATTTGTAGAGACACGGCTTCATCATGTTGCCCAGGCTGGTCTCGAACTCCTGAGCCCAAGCAGTCCACTCACCTCAGCCTCCCAAAGTGTTGGGATTACAGGCACGAGCCACCATGCCCAGCCTGAGATCTCTTTAAAATTATTTTTTATTTCTAAAGCAAAGCATCTTCACAGTAGAGATCTTTATTGACCAAGTTGTACATTGAGCCTAGCTTGAGCCCTTTTAAGGGGCACTGGGTGGAACGGCCCAGCCTCCTCAGATAGAAACTTCTCTTTCTTTACCATTCAGTTGTCTAGCTGGTGTGAAGGCCCTAATGCTAAACAGCAGTTACAGCAGCCCATGGAGGAATGGGCACAGCTGGAATCTACCTGGGGCAGGTGAGGCTTTGCAGAGGGAGGGATGTGGAAGGAAGGTGACCCCAGGGGGCCAGTAACAGGTGAGGACCAGTGACAGCCCTTCCTGACTTCTGTGCCCATTCTTGTAGGTGATGGAGTGGCTGAAGTATCTGCAAATGGAGAGAGACCAGTATGCCCAGTATCTGCACGGAGAGAGTGCCATGTGGTGGCAGAGGATGCGGGAGATGTCAGAGAAGGTGAGACCTGACCCTTCAGCCCCAACCACAGATAGGTCACTTGATTGTTCCAGGCATCTGTGAAATGGGAGGAGCACAGCCAGAGGTGGTCATGGGTCTGGGCTTTGTGGAGGTAGGGGCAGACAGGGAGACGGTAGCCTGTCCAGCCACCAGCCCTGCTCTCCAGGGCCCTTTCCCCCTGTGCTTTGGGCAGGTGCACACGTTGAGGGAGGAGAGGGCACATAGCATGAGTCGAGTACAGGAACTGGAGATGAGCTTGGCTGAACTAAGGAACCAGATGGGTGAGCTGGGGCTGGGGTGACCTGGGAGCAGGACTGGCGTCAGAGGGCTGTGGGGATGGCTTAGAATGCCCCAGGGAGGTGGGCGCATGGAAAGGCTTTGAGGCAGAGGGAAAGAGGTCTGTGTCAGGAGATGGCAAGTCTTGTCATCTTCATGAGCCTCAATGTCCCCATCAGCAAAGAGGAAAAAGTGCCTGTTGTCAGCCACCCACAGTTGTCTGTACCTGAAAGTGGCTTGGAAGTTTGGCTACCATCAGGGCGTGAGGAGTCGTTAGCAGCAGGGAGGCCAAGTTTGGGGAACCTGAGATGGGCTATGCACCAAGAGGAGGGTTTTTTTTGAGAATCCAGAGGCCCGTATTCCTTATTGTCTGCTTCCTTTCTCAGCTGAACCCCCACCCCCGGAGGCCCCAGCAGGGCCCTCCGAGGTGGAGCAGCAGCTACAAACAGAGGCTGAGCACGTGCGGAAGGAGCCGGAGAATCTGGCAGGACAGCTTTAAGCCCAAGTGGAAGAAAATGAGGGCTTGAGTCTCCTGAACTGGGAGCAGGAGGAGAGGTTGCTGGAACAGGAGGAGAGGTTGCTGGAACAGGAGGAGAGGCTGCTGGAGCAGGAGAGGCTTCTGGAGCAGGGGGAGAGGCTGCTGGAGCAGGAGGAGAGGTTGCTGGAGCAGGAGGAGAGGTTGCTGGAGCAGGAGGAGAGGTTGCTGGAACAGGAGGAGAGGCTGCTGGAGCAGGAGAGGCTTCTGGAGCAGGAGCGGAAGGCCGCTTCCTTTCTCAACTGAACCCCCACCCCCGGAGCTCCCAGCAGGGCCCTCCGAGGTGGAGCAGCAACTACAAGCAGAGGCTGAGCACCTGCGGAAGGAGCTGGAGAATCTGACAGGACAGCTTTAAACCCAAGTGCAAGAAAATGAGGGCTTGAGTCGCCTGAACCAAGAGCAGGAGGAGAGGTTGCTGGAACAAGAGGAGAGGCTGCTGGAGCAGGAGGAGAGGCTGCTGGAACAAGAGGAGAGGCTGCTGGAGCAGGAGGAGAGGCTGCTGGAACAAGAGGAGAGGCTGCTGGAGCAGGGGGAGAGGCTGCTGGAGCAGGAGGAGAGGCTGCTGGAGCAGGAGGAGAGGCTGCTGGAGCAGGGGGAGAGGCTGCTGGAGCAGGAGGAGAGGCTGCTGGAGCAGGAGGAGAGGCTGGAGCAGGAGGAGAGGCTGCTGGAGCAGGAGGAGAGGCTGCTGGAGCAGGAGGAGAGGCTGCTGGAGCAGGAGGAGAGGCTGCTGGAGCAGGAGCGGAAGGCTGCTTCCTTTCTCAGCTGAACCCTCGCCCCCGGAGTCCCCAGCAGGGTCCTCCAAGGTGGAGCAGCAGCTACAAGCAGAGGCTGAGCACTTGCGGAAGGAGCTGGAGAATCTGACAGGACAGCTTTAAGCCCAAGTGCAAGAAAATGAGGGCTTGAGTCGCCTGAACCAAGAGCAGGAGGAAAGGTTGCTGGAACAAGAGGAGAGGCTGCTGGAGCAGGAGCGGAAGGCCGAGCTCTGGGAGGAGCAGGTGGAGGCGCTCAGGCAAACCGTGCAGAACGACCGTACCACCATCAGCCGCGCGCTCTCCCAGAAACACGAACTGAAGAAGCATCTGGGCGAGCTGAAGGAGATGGTAACCCTCGCCCAATTCAAGAAGGGCAGGGAGGTGGGTACCAGCCTCCGGGGAAGGGAAGTGGAAGGCAAGAGGCAGCTGCCTCTGGTGAGCAGTACAGGTGACCCCAGCACCCTCCAGGGCAGTGCCATGACTATTTCTTGCTTCCTGCCCTCTGACTTTTGGAGGTGGGTAGCCTTGGACTCCTCCCAATATCCTCTAGCTGGCTATCATCCCAGCTAGAGACATGGAGCCCTCCAATCACAGGGAAAAGACAGTGGTATAAGAGGCTCCTTAGATTCAAACTGAATTCTGGCCTCGGCTCCACTGCTCACCATTGAACTGCTTTCCATCTCTAAGTCTTGGTTTCTTTCACTTAAAAAGGAAATGAGCATTTTCCTCGCAGAGGCGCTTAGGATTAAATGAGATAATACGTGGAAAGCATTAGGCATGTAGCACACGTAGCAGATGGGGGTTGGCTCCTGCTTTTCCACCTGTGGCTTACAGGTTAAATGGTGGAAAAAGGGTGTGTGATTTGAGGCTGGGGAAGGAGGCATGGGGCTCTCGGCAAGGGAGGCAGTCACTTAGGCCTGGAACAAGGGGCCAGGGGCCTGGGCAGGCGACAGTGTCCCACGGTGCCCTTGTTACCCTGTTTCTGGGCCCAGAATCTGGAAGCCAGCCACCGCTTGACCTCACACCCAGCGTCTTCCTGTAGGTGGAGCTGAAGAGCCAAGAGGCTCAGAGCCTGCCGCAGCAGCGAAACCAGTGCCGGGGCCACCTGCAGCCGTACTATCAGCAGCTGATCTCTGAGAAAGAGGCACTGCACAGGCAGTTACTTCTGCAGATCCAGCTCGTGGACCAGCTGCAGCACCAGAGAAAAGAGTAGCAGAGATGGCCCGCCAAGAGTTGCAGGAGACCCAGGAAACGGAGTTGCTGAGGGCAGGTGCCCGAGGGAGATGAGACCTGGCAGCCTCTGTGCCCTCTCATTCTCTTTCCTGACCCCTTAGGAGCGCCTAGAAGCAGAACCAGTAGCTACAGGCCCAGTTGAGCTTCATGGCTCTCCCTGGGGAAGGTACGGGGGAGACCACTCAGAGGAAGAGGAGAGAGCCCCAGGAGGAGCGGGGGACTGTTAGCAGCATAGGATTGAGGAGTTGGAAGAAACCCTTAGAAGAGCGGATCATTATGCAGACCGGGTGTCTGCACTAAGTTCGGCATCAATATGGTGACCTGGGAGCGGGGGACCACCAGGTTGCCTAAGGATGGGTAAACTGGCCCAGGTCAGAAGTGGAGCAGGTCAGAACTCCCAGGTCGATAGGTAGTGGGACTGTGCCTGGGCAACATAACAGGACCTTGGCTCTTTAAAAAAATACAATAAAAGTACAGAACAGCTGCTCATTCCTCTCTGGGGAGGGGCTGACCTAGGGTTACACAGTGAGGGTGGGAGCAGAGGTGGGCCCACTGTACCTCCCTTGTTGGGTTGTCTGAGGACCCCTCTGGTCACCACCCCCCACCTCCATAGGAGATGGACTGCAGAGTGAGGAGGAGGAGGAGAAGCCTTGGTCCATGCTGAGCATCCTAGAGGACCTGGAGAACTGGGAGGCCATGGTGAGCCTGACTCCCCCTGCCCCACCTTTGCTGCCTCCCTCTCTGCTCCCTCCCAGACACCCTTATGCTCTTGGTTTTTCTGCCTTCTGATTTCTCTGGACTCTCACCCCTTCCCTCGGAGCCAGTGGTCAGACTCCATTTCACCTGAGACCAACAGGTGCACCCTCTGAGGCCCCAAGGGAAGGGCTTCTCTCTACTGCCCTGGCCTGTTGATCCTGTGTATCCCCCTACAAGAATGCGCACCTCCTGCCCACTAGTGACTTTTTAAAACTTGGCTTTAGCCAGTGCCGAAGAGGAGCAGGCACAGCCACATGGGCGGCTGAAAGAGCAAAGGGTGCACTGCCAGCGCCTTCTCACCTGGTGGCCTTGGCCCAAAAGCAGCCAGAGGCGGCCACCTCAGCCCCAGGGACTGGGGGCGATTCTGTGTGGGCAGAGCCACGGGGCCTTGCAGGGGACCATGGAGAAGCTGCAGGTGAGTGAGTCTTTCCTGGCATGGCCAAGAAGGGTGGGGGCAGGGCAGGTTGTTGCGGGGATGTGACCCCGTTATTTTGACTCCAGAGCCGCTTTATGGAGCTCATGCAGGAGAAGGAGTGGGTGGACAAACTGGAATGTCGCTGCATTCAGCTGTCTGGAGAAACAGGCACCATCAGTGAGCGAGAGGCCGGGTCACGGCCGGCGGAGCTGCAGGGTGGTCAGAGGGGCCCCAGTGTCTGAGCCCTGTCCTCCTGCAGGAAAGTACATCACATCATACCAGAGCCAGAGGTCAGTGCTGGAGACGTGGCACCAGGAGGATGAGTACATAAGCAGGTTGGCCCAGGACAAGGAGGAGATGAAGGTAGGGTGCGCAACATCTCTGCAGGGGGGGGGGTGGGGGTGGGCGTGGGCATGGACGTGGCAGCTGAGCACCCCTCCCTCCAGGTGACGCTGCTGAAGCTGGTGTTGCAGCTTGTGGGCGGCCACAACGAGTGGCATGGCAGATTCCTGGCAGTTGCCCAGAACCCTGCTGATGAGCCCGCTCCAGGGGACCCAGCCCCCCAGGAGATTGGGGCTGCCGACTCGCAGGGTGGTGAGTAGAGCCCTTGGGCAAGGTGTGCTGGTAGGATGAGGGGAGGGCTCACACGGTGCTCTGAGCCCTGCCTCCCCGTCTCCAACGATCTCCCACAGTGTGGAGCCTGAACAAGAAGAGGCCGGGGAGGGTTCTCCCCACAACAGCCCCACTGCACAGCAGATCATGCGGCTGCTTCATGAGGTGCAGAACCCCCAGGAGCACTCAGGCTTGGGCAGCAACCCCTGCATCCCCATTTTTTACTGGGCTCAGGAGAACAAGGTGAAGATAACAATCATCTAAAAGCCGGCCACTGTCAGCAAAGCCTGGAGAAGTGGGGCCAGAGGGTCTCCCCGACTATGTCCCTGCCACCCCTTCCCAGTTACCCCTTTACCCTTACAGTAGCAAAATAAGACCCCTATCTAATGAGGGAGACAGGTGCAGATGAGGTGAACATCATTGTCATCTAAAAACAGGCCACAAAATAAAAAAAAAGTTATGGGATTAAAAAAAAGTTATGGGAAAAAAAGTTACGGGATAAAAAAAGTTATGGGATTAAAGAAGTTATGAAAAAAGTTGTAAGAAAAAAGTTATGAAAAAAGTTGTAAGAAAAAAGTTATGAAAAAAGTTAGTTATGGAAAAAAGTTATGGAAAAGTTATAGAAAAAAAGTTATGGGATTAAAAAATAGTCATGGATAAAAATTTAAAAAATAAAAAATAAAAAGCAGGCTACTGGAGAAGTGGGCCTGGAGACTTTGCCTCTACCATGTCCCTATCACCCCTTCCCAGGCACCCTTTTACCCTTAGAGTAGCAAGACAAGCCCCTGTCTAATGGGGTGAGACACACAAGTGCAGACCCTTTGCCGCCTTGGCTAGGGCTGAGTCCTTAAATTCCTGGATGATGATGATTGTTATTTAACAGCTAGAGGCTCAGAGTTTATTTCTTTCGAGGAAGCCTCGTGGCCTCTCTGATGGCCCTAATTTCACCAAAGCAATTTTTCCCTCATGGGAGCTCCCATCTTACTCAGAGAGGCAGCTGAGGCAGGACAATGGAGCTAATGTAGACCAGGCGAGGGCACGAGCTGCTGGAGGTGGGTCCCCTTCCTCAGTGTACATATTGTATCTGTGCAACATTTTGTATATTCTGGGGGTAGGGCTGCCCCCTGTGTCATACATAGCGGAGGTTGGAGTTGGCACATGGGGAGGAGGTTCTAATAATTATTTATGGCTGGGAAACTTATTTGATAGCATATGGCAGAGGAAGGAGGCAGGGATGGGGTTGTGGCTCCATGGTGATGAGACTCCTGTTTATTTTGCTTTTTATTTAGGAATAAATAGCTTTTGGCCATACTGCTCAGCCTGGTGTGTTCCTGTTTCCTTCACTGGCTCCTGGAGTTTGTGCCACTGAACGGGGAGCGCCAGAGTGTCTGAACATGTCCAACTGGGCTGATGGGGACCTTCCAGGCGTGTTACCTGTATGCTGCCTGGTGACACCTGGGGGATTCCACGGGGACTGCCGTGGTGCCTGTGGGGCACAGTCCAGCCCTGACAGCCAACAGGCTCAGAAGCCTGATCTACCGGTGGCTGGGAAGGCAGGTACCAGCATCCAAGGGCACTGACTTCCATTCAGCCCAGGCGTCTTCCATTCCATCCTCCTCCCTCCCTTGCCTGTCTCTGCCTGGTGGCCTGTTTTTTCTGTCCCTCCAGAGTGCCAGCTGCCCTGCAGGCTTCCTCCAGGCTGAGTTAATGGCCCTGCGCCCTTGTGGCGAGAACCAGCTTCACAGGATGAGCCAGCTAAGCTCCAGGGGCTTTCCAGGAAAAGTGTCCCTTGGAAAGGATGTGACCTTTTCACTGCTCCCAACAACTCTGTTAATAATGGCTTGGCCCTTCCCCTCCCCTGAGTTCCACAGAAAACACAGCTAGCAGAGGACGCATTTCCCATCATTCAGGATGGGTTTGATTATCAGCTGAGGGACAGCAGGACTGGTAGAGACTGTCAGGCCACATGGCTGCCTGCACAGTACACCCATGCTTGGCAGGGGACTGAAGGGATGGCCGGGGCTGGCTGTCCACAGGCCGGGCATGACAGGGAGGCCTCACTGGAGGTGGCACACTTTGGAGGGGCAACAATCCTGTTGGCTACTGAACTCTTCCTTTGGGCAATAAGTTGAATGTCAAAATGAGGAACTATGGGTCATTTTACCTTGATGTGATATACCTGGCTCCTTGCCAAAGGATACCTTACTTTTGGTTTTGCTAAGGGAAGAGGAGACAAAACATGAAGGCACTTGTTGACTAAAAGGAAGTCTTGAAAAATGCTTCAGCATTGAAAAGAGAAATGGAAAAACTAGAAAATAAACCATACTTCCCAGAAACTCAAGAGAAAATGTCCCCTCTTTCCATATGGCCCACAGATGCCAACTGTGGGAGAGGGTGGCATGTTTAAAAACAGGCAGAATAAGAACCTATTCACAAGCCAGAGATTTGGAAGTGACATTAGCTACCCCTCTCCAGATATAGGGAAAGTACAGATCCTTGGAAACCCTAGACCTCAGTCTATATTACTGGATTCTCTTTTGAGCAGCAGCTTGGAAAGGCAAAGATGGGGAAGATTTTTAACTTCACTTCCTATGAATTATGCAGCTTCTTGCTAAGCATGGCTGAGAGTTTATTTGGGCAGGAGAGATTATGTGCAGGAACCTAAGAGGAGCCTGCTCTGAAGAATGCTGTCAGCATCAAAAGGGGCGGAGGAGGAGCTGGAATACAACACCCAAACTCCACAGACTCCAGGGCACATCTTGGGAGAGGTTCCAAATGTGGGCCCTAGTGATGCCATCTGCAGCAGAGAGAGCAAGTTCCAAAGAAGATGGGACAAGGTGCCATAATTTGATGGTGAAATATCTTGTATCAAATTTTGATAATAATATATAACTCTGTGTGTATTAATTTCATTAATACATATTTCAGGAAAAGTGGATAAAATCTAATAATCTCTTCCACAATATGTGTATGTAAGTGAGTGAGGATGCCGCAACTGCCTACCTAGCAATCCTAAATTATCCAACTAGCACTCAGGGGAGCCGTAAACTTTAAGGGTCTATATATTTAACCACTACTCAGGTCACTGGGCTCCCTAGCCCAAGTATAGTTTCAGCCAATCTGGCAGCGTGGACCCAAATTCGGGGTGATCAAAATCAGTCTTCCTCTGATATATACACAGAATACCCCACCCACCCCAGCCTTGCACCCAACTACAGCCCAACTTACAAGTTCATTATCGTGATCCCTGCCCTTTGGAGAGCATCACATAATTCACAACAAGTAGCTGATTGAAGAGCAGGGAGTTGGTTTCATTCATCTTTTTCCTCTTTATTTCTAGCCTACTGCATGGTGTGGTCAGGTTCTGAACACTTATTTATTATGGAATAAAGGAGAAAGGGGAGAAGAGGGAGAGAGTTGGAAGACAGCTAAAATATGCTTGTGTCTAAACAATGAAAAGGAGAGAGAATACTGCAAGATGACTCTTTCCCCTCTTGAAGCCCTCTTACTAACCTCATGCCTGTTTCTTTCCTTATTCTTGCCCTTATCCTTCTTCCAGTGACCCATTCTCTCTCTACTTTTGATGTCACTGATCTTTTCCTGTTTGGGGCCTTATTTCTACCCCATTTGCTTGCAAGACTATCTACCTTTCTTTTTCTCATTCTCTGCGTATCTCATCTGTTTGTCTGATTTTTACAAATTTGATCTCTTATTCTGTCATCTGATAACTTTTTTCTTTTAAGAAGGAATGGCAGGGCCTCAGGAGAGCCAACGGGTAAAAGAGTAGATAAGAGAAAGAGCATCATCTAATGTTTCCCACAGGGGCAGGGCCCATTCATCCCTCCTCCCCATGCTTTGTCCCAGTAGGTCAGAAGTGGTCAGTCAAGGGTGTCCTATCTCATCTCTCTCTGGGCTCCTTTGAGTTGTCCTCCTGACCTACTACCTACTGTTACCATCAACATGGAAGCTAACTCAGGCACTACCCAGTTTCTGTTGTTAACTGATCTACCTCAAAGAGGCAGCCCCAGGCCCTAATTTTGAACAGCAGTGAAGACATACATTCTACAAAAGTCAAGAGAACTCCGTGTTTTTCCCACAGTTTGCTTCCCCAGAAAACTGACACCTGAGAACTCCATATACCCAAATCTAGTCTTGGTTCAGAGGTTTCTAGGCAACTTCCTAACACATGCACAGAGGCTACCTCTAAGGGGTGAATCCTAGTTTCATCTCCCAAGTCCAGCTTCACCCTAAGATCAGCTCCACTAACTCTAAAGAACCTTATGGTA